ATTTTAAATCTTAAATTTTACTACAAAGCAACAGGAATCAAAATGGGATGATACTGGCATGAGGGTACACGTATGGATCAATGAAATGGAACTCAAGAGTCCAGAAATAAATCCGTCTACGGTAATTGAATTCAGACAGGGACTGAGGTCATTAAATTGAACAAGTGATATTGGACAACTATCCGCATGCCCAGGAATGAAACTGTACACTTACACCACACCGCACAGAAAAAATTACCTCAAAATTGTCCAAAGGCCTAAATGTCATAGGAAAAACATAAACTCGAGAAGAAAACATGGAGATAAATCTTCATGGCTTGCATTTAACAATGGTTTCTTAGATCTGACACCAAAAGCTCCATTAGAGGAAATTGGTTCAAAATTTAAAAGTTTTGGAAATGCGACGATACCCTAGGAAAGTAAGATGACAACCCATAGATTCACATTATGTACCTGATAATGGTCTGTTATCCACAATATCGACAGAACTTTTAAGACTGAACAGGAAAAACACGATTACAACATCGATGAAGATCTTAAAATACACACTGCACAAAACGAGACAAGCAAAGAGCCAGCAAGTGCATAAGAAGATGCTACACGTTATTGGTTATTATGGAAATTCACATTAGAACCATAATGATACGTGTAATCCCCACTCACACACAAGAGAAAGTCTATGATAAAAAAAATTAAAAATAAAATCTTGGCAAGGACGCAGAAAAATTGGACAACGCTAAACAAATTGTGGAAATACAAAATGGTACAGCCTATGTGTAAAATATTTTAATGTTTCCTCAAACATTTACAAGAAGAATTACCATGGCTCAACGATTATATTCCAAACTATATATTACAAAGATTAGAAAACAAGTGTTCAAACAAACACTTCTATGTGAATATTTATAGCAGCTCTATTCACAATAGCCAAGAAGTTCAGACAATCCGAATGTCCATCAACAGATGGATGGATAAGCAAAATTAGGTATATCATAACCTGATATATTATTCTGCCATAAAAAGGAAAGAGAAAAGTAAAATGGAGCAGCTGCTATGGAACACAATATGGCAGTACCTCAAAAATTAAGCATGGAATTAACTTACAACACGGTGATTCCACTTCTGGCTATTTACTCAAAAGAAGCGAAACCAGGGACTGGAACATCCACGTTCACGGCAGCATTATTCACTGTGCCAAAAGATGGAAGTAACACAAGTGTCCACTGACAGATGAGTAGATAAATGAAACGTGGTCCATCCACACAATGAAATATTATTCAGCCTTAAAAATGAGGAAATTCTGACATATGTGACAACATGGATGAACCTTGAGTCAGTAGGCTAAGTGAAACAACCCAGCCACACAAGAACAGATACAGGATTCTCTACTTATGAGGTACCTGGAGTCGTTTCCTGGGGCTGGGGGGAGAGGGAATAGGAAGTGGGTGTTTAGTGAGTACAGAGTTCCACTTGGGGCAGATGAAAGAAATTCTGGATATGGATGGTGGTGATGGCCACACAACAATGCGCATGTGGTTAATGTCACTGAACTGTGTGCTTAAAAATGGTTAAAACGGTGAATGCTGTATGTATTTAATCATACAGAAAAAAAGGAATGAAGTACTGATGTATGTTGCAACATGGATGAACCTTGAAAACGTCCTAAGTGAAAGAAACCAGCACAAAAGGCCACGTATCACATGAGTGCATTTATATGAAATCTCTAGAGCAGGCAAATCCACAGAGGTGAAAAGGAGATTAGTGCTTGCCAGGGACTTGGGGGACAGGGAAACGAAAGTGACTTTTTACTGGGTTCTGAGTTTCCTTCAGAGGAAAAAAAATGATCTGAAACTATTAACAGATAGATGGATGCACAACACTGCCAATGTATGACATTCCATTGAGTTGTATATTCACAAACGGCTAAGATGGTGAAATTTTAAATGGTGCTTTCAAATATTTATATACATTGTCATAATATGGACTAGGACTTTATCACTTAACTATATTGACTGGTGATGTAAAGATAAGTGTTTAAACCTGAAATACCTTGCAACGCTGGACACGCACATGCACGCGCACACGCGCGCCCACACACACACACACACACACACACACACACACACACACGGCTAGAGAATACAGCAAGGTAACATGTGGTTCAGTAAATTCTTATGAAATTTCCATGATCAATTGGGCCATTTGCCTTTCATTTGGCAGTGAGATTTAGTTTTTCTTTACTAGTTATCCCAAATATAAACTGTTTGTAGCTACCATTTCTTTGTTCTATATATAAATCAAACGAACAGATGATATACCAAATAATGAATTTTTTTGTCTTTGGAAGAATCATGTTATGAACTTTTCTACTGTTAGATATCACAAACTGGTGTGACCTTAAGGATTTAGCTGTACAACCCCTTAGAAAATTTGCTAAGGGTGTCCACTGGGTGGATGCGTTGAGGGAACCTGAATAAAAACCCTGAGACACCAAAACCCTGCTGTGTACCTGAAAGTGAGAGCAGAGCACACTGCAGGCAGTTGCGGTGAACTGACGGGAGAGGGCAGCAGCCAGCAGTGTTCCGTGTCTGGAGGCCATGGTCAGTCCTCTGTTGCTTTTCCAAGGCCAGTAGGAAACCAGCGGCAAAGTCTTTAACCAGGAGAGTGACGTGATGAGATCTGAGTCTGTAAAGTGGTGTTTTCCATCGTCAGGTTGAGATCGCCAGTGGGGTGGGGGATCTGTGCTGCTCCTGGTGGGCTACACTGAGAGAGCACAGCATAAATGAGGGCGTTCCTGCTGGGAACGCAGGGTCTGTATCTGCTCAGGAGGAAACACTGGCCAGACCCACCTTGGAGTCATCTCTGCTCTTTAGACCTGCTAAGGCTGGGAGACCGAGGGACAGTCTCAGAAACAGTTCCAGAAAAAGAAAACTGCAACCAAAGGAAAAGATACGTTTTTCTCCCACTTGGGGAAGGCAGTGAAGTGGGCCTAGCGGATTGGACTGTCACGGAGAAACGTGTATTTCCTGATTTGGGGGTTAACGGTGGTCACCTGGGAGAGTGTTGCTGCTGTAAAACACACGGGAGTACTTACTGTGAAGTAGAAAATCTCTCACAGCAATGACGCTGGGGACTCTGAAGGCAGGACAGTGAGTACTCTGTGCTGCGATTGCACGTTCCCTGGAAATATGAAATTATTGGAAGGAAATTACATCTATAAACAACCATATCAACACCGTGTCAGTAAGGCAGAGAGGAGGCCAAACTCCCTCACAGAGGCTGAGCGAGACCCACGTTCAGCTCAGCACAGCGGTGCAACCAAGCACCAGGGTGAGAGTCTGATACCACATTAGCGTGGAGAGGCCACCACGTGGTCGTCACACCTGTGGCCACCACTTCCTGGGCTGGGGACCTCGGTGTGGTGGCAATAGTGGATTCCCCATTTCCAAATTTCCACACGGAGCCCCTCCCGGGTCTCTGAGGACCGGCTGCCCCTCGGCAGGTGGCTGTGGACAGGAAGGCGGTGCCCCCGGGGCTGGGACAGGAAGATCTCACTCACCCTTGGGGCCTCAGGTCTGGCTACAGGAAGGTCTCAGTCACTATAGCCTCAGGTCTTGGGATGGGCAGGCCTCACTCGCTCTTGGGGCCTCTGGTCTGAGAACAGGAAGGTCTGAATCACTGGCAGGGACGCAGTAGTTACAAGTGACATGGCACCTGCGCGTCTGCTCTAACAGAGTGAAGCTGCAGCCTCTGATGCAGGGAGCCGGGGCCATGCCTCCTCTCACGCATGGCACGTGGCCTCCATGCCTCTAATGCTGGGCGGGGCAGCCTCCTCCACTCAGGCAGGGCGCGGTCCCGCCTCCTCCAACGCAGGGCACACAGAGCCCCTCCTCTCACGCAGGCCACAGCCCCTCCTCTCACGCAGGGCACGTAGCGCCCCTCCTCTCACGCAGGGCACGCAGCCCCCCATCCTGTCACGTAGGTCGCGTAGCGCCGCCTCCTCCCATGCAGGGCACGTAGCGCCGCCTCCTCTCACGCAGGGCACATAGCGCCGCCTCTTCCCACGCAGGGCACGCAGCCCCGCCTCCTCTCACGCAGGGTGCAGAGGCACCACCCTCTGCATGCAGGGCTCCTTGGCCCTGCCCCTTTTATGCAAGTCCCAGCGGCCCCACCTCCTCTCACACCAGGCGTGGTGCCACAGAACATCATGCGCACTCCGCCCCCTGGTGGCCATCACCCGCACAGAGGCCCTCAGAGCTCACAGTGAGATCGCAAGCGCCCCCTCCTGGCCATGTCG